CAGCGCCAGGAGAGCAGAGATGCTGTGCCATCGGCCGGTCACCGGTCGCGGCCAGCAGCAGTCATTCAGAGGAAAATTCAGCAGCTTCAGAGAATATCTGGCGCCCGGAAAGCCGCACTGGCCGGCGGCGGTCGGACAGTATAATGGGTGTGGTCGACAGAAAATACCCAGTATCATTCGGCCACGAAATTCAGACGCAATATTTCAGGTAGGACTAACTAAATAATACGTTAAAGAGTTAAATCATTTCCATATTGCAGCTAAATGCAGCATTTTAATCTAGGCTGTGCGTGAAAGACTGATGCGCACTGGATCATAAATCACGTATGAGAAATCGGCATGAGTGAGTGACTCCCATTGGCCTTCGCTTCCCTTCCTTGGCCCGAGCAATGAGAATATGCCGGTGTCAAAGGAAGCAATCACGTCTGCTCTCACGGGCGGTGATTTAGCAGTCCATTACGGCTATCTAAAATGGCGGCCGCTCGGCGCCGGGGGCCTCGGCGGACGGCGTCACTCATGAAGCAGACAGCGGCGGCGCCGCGGTACCCCAACCGTTCGTCACCGCGTGCACCGATAGGGCGAGGAGAGATACAGGCATTGTGAAACTGATCATAGGGGGACTGATCGCTTTTGGTGATTGTTCGGAGAATGCCGAAAGAAAAAAATTACCTATGGGCGGAAAAACATAGCTTGGTTGCTGTTAATATGTTACATACCTAGTATAAAAAAATAAGTTATGCAGAGGTGTAAAACAAATCCAGATGATCTAACTCTTGGAAAGCGTACCGGCGATAAGTGGAAGTTTGTGCTAGAACCATGCTGGTTCTCCCAGAGAGAAAACACGTTATACAATGCATGCAATCATCGCTTCCTTGAATCCCTCCAAATTAATCTAAACATTTCTCCAAATCATAGCCAATCGAGGTTATCGTGTGAAAAACTCAGCTTCTTTGGAAAAACCTTTGGCGAGGCGCTAATAGATTCGCTAATCCAATGGGACATTTATGACCGTTTCTGTTGAAAACACCGAGTACATGCTATTTATATCCAGTAATCGTAACGCTGTGGCGCAATTTGCCAAAACCGCATCGTTCTGCCGCTCTCTTCCGGCACAGTTTTGCGGAAAAGCTGTCACTGGCCGCAGTTCATATCCAGCGAATGGCCCATTCAGTACTGCCGTATTGCAATTACTGCTACCATCGGTGGTCGGCGTGGCCACTCCGCCGTCTCGCACGTTAGTGCAAAATGGCTAAACGGCTGTTCCTGTGAGCCGCTGGTGCTGCATGGTTGGTGGAGCTCACACAGTGAACGGCTGGCATAGCTCGCGGTATTACTAAAAAGTTTACCGTGTGAGAGGTTGATGGCTCAGCCGCTGAGCAGCTGGAAGCTCCCGTCCTCTGTCAGTCGTCGCTCGCTGAACGTCGCCGCTGACGGTTCCAGACCTCGCGGCCAGACGTCCAGACTACGGTCCACCGGCCTGAGCCGACGGACAGGGTCGAGCCGCTGTGCCTACAGACCCATACAAATCAGCGGGCCGAGACAGGTGGGATCCGCCCTCAGCGCGGGAGGTACTGCGACCCCCCTCCCCTCCCCGCCACTGCAAGGAAAAGTAGGGAAACACACTCACGTGCGTAATGCATGCTGCATCCGCAATGCAGATTTACACGTGAGGGAGAGAGAGAGAGGAGAGAGGGGGGAGAGGGAGAGAGAGAAAGAGAACCGTGAACGTATACCAATCGCCGCACAGACTCGCGTAGACCAGAGTTAAACCTTACCTTTTCATACCTTTCCTCGCTAGGTTCGGCCATCTAAAGCTTGCAGATGAGGCGGGGGTGTTTAGTGCTTATGTTGCTTTTATCTTCAGCTTATGGTGAGCATTTCTCTCAGCCCCCATGGGTGACCAGCACTTAGCCCTGGTCTTGACAATTATATCTCTGCAGCGTTTTTATGGCATGTTACGTTGTTATGTTATAGGTATCGTTTATATAAGTTATATGTGCCATATGTTAATAATATGTTGTTTATTATTTTGTTATATTGTTATGTTGTTATGTTAGCCACAGACTTCACTAGGTATATGTTGAGATTTCTCTCTATACATATATAGAGAAGTGTGTTAGGTTATGGCGTTTTTATGTTGTTTTATGTGCTGCTGCAAACAATCAATGAAAACAATCCACCGATGCATCGTGTAAAGCGATCATATAACTCGATAAACAGTGGGTTGGTAAACGAGGACCGTATGTACAAAAATATCGGCGAACCCAGGCGCCCGCAGCTGCGGGGCGGGATGCAGCCTACAGTGCAGTGTGCCAGCTGTAACAGACTCTGTCGTTATCGTGATAGGTACAAGGAGCTGGTAACATGTCACCCACCATGCTGACAGCTGAACGATTAGCACCAAAAGAGTATTTAATTTCGAAACTTGTGTTTATCGCATGTCTTTTTTACTCTTTTCTTACGTCATGAAACAATACATTCGCGAAACGGCGAAAGTTGTGAAAGCAAATGCATTTCGTTTGAGCATGAAATAATGCGCCCTGATGAGGACAAAACCACTGGCATTTATAAACCCTTTGACCGATGAGTGATTTGTCTTCAGCAGGGGTCTCGTATTCTCACAGAAGGCGTCTCCGACTCTCGCATCAGACATCAACAGTGAGATAGCGGGAGCTGTGACCAAAGTCCAAACCTACAATACATATGCATTACACACGTAATTAACACGAAACAGCTTTACTACAACATGACATACAGTCTTTAATATGTGATAAGAGTTGACAATGCTGTGGCCTCTGAAAGGTGCTGTTAGAAAATGGGACCCAGCTAGGACTTTGCGATGAAGTTGTTTCATATACCTATAGCCAATTCTGAACAGATTCTCTTGCTTTTGTGAGCGTCTTCATGCTGTGCCTCTCCTGATGATATTCAATAGTTGCATTTAAATATTCACAAACGACAGGCTTGCGAACAATGGATACACATTCCGTGGCAAACACCTTCAGACAATGTTGTTCTTACTTACAGCACCCTATGCAATTTCACGTTGCATAAATATAAACAGAGTTCTAGCATTCACTCGGTTGGCAAATGACCATCACGTCACACCCTCCTGAGCATAGATAACACGAGGGGGAGGGAAACAATGCAGCGCGGCTGATCTTTGTTCACAGTCGGCCGCGTTTACTGCCATTTGTCAAAGGGACACTGTCACAATCAGAACAATCTCACTTGCGATCATACACGTCAAGTACATACAGCCGATTATACACGGGGACCTATCAGATGAGCGGGAAGCTTGGGAGGGCGTTTAGGGTATCGGAAGTGTTGTAAGGCTGTGCATGTACCATATTTTGAGCGTGTTGCATGCACAGTCCATGAGAAGTCCAGTCACATGTCTATGAGAAACTGGATCGGTGCTTTTCTCTTCACAGACTTCTCAATAACGTACCTTTTGAATGGTTCAGCACACATGCGTTAGCTATTATTGCCTGCTGGTCATAAAATTACATCAGCCTTCATTGCTGCCTTCATATGGAACCCGGCATCTTAACAGTGCCGGGCTCCATAAATATTCAACCCGGCGCTTATACAGTTGATGGTAACGACGTCCATAATAAACATATAGAGATTGAGCCACAAACAAATTTGCATCATTGGCCGTGCTGTTCATGTTGTATATGCGCAACTGCAGGCGGAGTCGATGAAACGCAGATAGCAACGAGTGCCTTCTCATGAAATAGTGAGCGGTGTGTGCACAAATAGCGGCCAGGTAATTTGGTGATCTCTCGGTCTATTCTATGATGCACTTACCAGCCGAACATGCAACATAATCGTCGTCGACAGCAGAGTTTATCGACGGCACCTCACGATCGGGATGTGGAAAGTCCCGACCGTCAACAGTTCACAGGGTACAACAGATCGTGGGGTCAGTGGTGCCCCGTGCGGTCGGATACCGTATCCGTACACCAGCTATTAGTGTACTGCTCGACGACTCTGAACATCCGCTAGTAGTTAAATGCATCGATGTAAGCATACCTATAGTCGACCTAACGCGGCGATTCCGATTTGTCCCGGGAGGTAAACAGAGGACGGTGTGCAGCTTCGCGTTAAATTGTCATTCTGTAATTGAGTATCTATATGGGCATTTCCTGTACAGAATGGCTTCCGGCAGCCACAAAGGCGAACAGGCAGTCAATGCGAGAAATAGTTCCTCCGCCCACCGGTGCACTGAATGCTTTCTTCAAATGCAAGCCGTCACCGTCCGGGGGTTCTTGCGTTGTGTGAGGCCTCATCAGCCATGTGGCGGCCATTACTGGGGCCCAGGTTGCATGCAGAGCTCGTGTTTGCCAAGCTCCTAAAATTGATGTGGCTGATGTTCAGACGCAGTGGTGCAGCTATAATTGTGCACCCACAGATCTAGTAATTACAATGCATTGCTCTGCAATGTTATTGTTAAAGATTTCCATGAAGAAGTGGCATCAGCCTTGGCGCCTTTGTCATGTCTTAAAAGCAATAAGGAGAATCCCCACATATGTTATGCTTGAAGAAACTACAAGTAACTTATAAGATAAATGTAATAAATCAGCATTCAGAACTTCAGCACTGTCTGAATAAGGTGCCCGACACAATTTCTGGATGCACAAAAATCCTGTTGGGCTACATAAACTCACCATTTTATTTTTCATTTTACCTTGCTTTGCCTTTTCCAATGTGCAGACTGATCACCTGTGCCAGTCAAGGGTATGGCCAGAACAGGTACGATTGAATTATTCGTGCTAAATGCATTTTGCATTTAATCGGAAAAATTTCACACAACAGCCGGCACACTTTCTCCATATCGGCTCATTTTGCATCGTGTTGAGATCAGTCATGCAGAAATTAAATGTTCATTGCATGCTCATTGATCAATGTCCATTGCAAGTGCCCATTGCATGGAAAAGCCCACAAGCAAAACTCACGTGTCTCCATTCTACTTATCGAGCAGCCAAAATAAAAATAGTGTCTCAAAATTTGTAATGTCGTTAACCTCACCTGTCTGGCTCCAAATCACAGTCAACCACTATGGAACAGTTTTGATTTTTCATATTTTTGCCTTTAACCGAAATGTTTTGATATCATGATAACCTAGACCAACATGACCGATTTCGACATAATTCATGAGATATTAAGTGAAATCACTCTTGTTCATTGGACAGGATTAGCGATCTTTCTTTTGCTGGGTTGTTTTCCGACACTAATTCCAGACATTTTAATCTACATCATATCGTGGTGTTCCGATGTTACGTTGTCTCTTTCAAATAACATCAAGAAAAGCCTACTAAACATCCTCACATTTTTCGTATTCGTCTTGTCTTTAGTGTTCTTTATGGTTGACTTCTCTCCCGTGCAAGATAAAATTGAAGAATGGAAGGGGTCATTCACCGCTAACTCACTGGACGTTCCTGATACGCTGAGTGGCAGAGTTGGACGACGTTTTTCAAGAGCTATGTCTATTGTTCCTCCATCTTCTTCCATGCTAAGACTTTAGAACTGAGGCATAAATGGCATAGTTTGCCATTAGACAATGGAGATGTATCTTCAAGCACTGGTAAGTAGACAACAGCGAATACCGTCGCGCATTGATAGCATTTAACTCTTTAGTTCCCTGTCGAGCTTGTTCCTTTAGTTAGCTAAGCGTACCTACCTATGGTGTGCTCTCATTTTTTTCCTGGCTTGGAGCGACGTTGGCGGGCTAGGATATCTAAAACTGAATGCGCTAAAAATGGCATCCCTTTCATTTGTGTGATAGGTGATAGGCCCAACTGACAACAGTGCCACCCACACTGTAACAAGCATGTGTCATCTCTCTTATGTGTCACTGTTGTCGGCTGGCGGTCACCGCCTAACGCCTTTATATTCGTGTCACTGCGTCACACCTGTGACGGTCGTCACTGTTCGACCGTAACGTGTTGCAGAGGCACCTCCGGCCTGTCGGGGGCCGTCACATCACGTGACGCGAGTGGCACTGCCGGCGGACGATGGGATCAGTCTGCCGATTCAGACCGCGGACCGCTGCGAATGGGACGGACTGTGGAGGGCGCAGTCCGATCGCCTGCACCTGCTGATGAACGAGCGAGGGCGAAGCAGGGAGTGATGGGACGCCGGTGAAGTCACGCCAGCCAGCAGCGGTCCATTGCGGGAGGTCGAACGGAGGACGTTTGCCAAGGCGAGACGGCAGGCACGGATTCAATTTCGACTTATGCAGTGCAGTGTTCCATCTCAGATCTACCGATGGTGTTCCATAATGTGTGCTGAGCAGTGATTCACATGGGCAAAAATAATGCATTTTTCGGTTATACCTGACGAAATGTCGTGTACCTACTATCTTCTGTCGATTTTGATACCCATGTTCCGAAAAAATGTGAATAAATATAAAACCCGAAACGCGCCCCAAATAACGTATAATATTCGCTAAGTAAAATTGCATCACACCCATTTTTCCTTTGAATGTCTATCAGCTTATTTTCAGACCCCGGGCCAGGCATGGAAGTAAAGATTATGTAGATTATACAGCCAAGACACTCATTAATTTTATGTTTTGATCCGGATGCTACCTATCTAAGAAGGCCACACGTGTATTGTTAGCGGGCAGTTGTTTGAATGAGAGCTTCTACTGAACGCTTGCTAACTTCTTATATATTCGTCCGCTTTTGATTATATGACATCAGCTGCGACTCATAGGTCTGAGATTAACTTAATTAACTACGTCCCCACATCAGTATGGCAAGGCCGTGCCTGTGCTGTAGCATGATTTATTAAGATCGACATTCAAAGAGAAAATTATAGCTATACAGTCAAACAAGGATGCAAACTGGCAGGCGTGTGAATTATAGAGTGAATGAGAGTATTCATCAAACGAATTTGACATTTATCGGCTAGGAGGTGATAATAGCCAATGAGGGATGAGGACGTCTAGCGCTAGCCTGACGAGTCGACGACTCGCAAGGGCGCACACAAGGGGGGGGGGCACACGGGCCCGTGCCCCCCATTCGAGTTGGGGGGCCCAACTCGAAGGAAGGGGCCCATTTGAGGCGGCCGAAGGCCGCCTCAAATGGGCCTCTAACTAATCCTTAGACCACCGAAGACCGTGTACAACGGGCCCTCAAATGGCCTTAAAGGGCCCTCAGATGGTCTCAAAAGGCCCTCAGATGGCCTCGAAGGGCCCTCAGTTAGCGTCATAGGGCCCTCATCTGGTGTCAAAGGGCCCTTAGATGGTGTCAAAGGGCCCTCAGATGGCCTTAAGGAGCCCTCAGATGACCTCAAAGGACTCTCAGATGGCCTTAAAGGGCCCTCAGATAGCCTCAAAGGGCCCTCAGCTAACGTCAAACGGAGTACGGACGTCAGAAGGCCTTAAAGGGTGTCAAAGGTCCCTGAGCTGGCGTCAGAGGGCCATGCCCTTGCGTCAAATGGCTCTCCGAAGGCTCTAAAGGGTCCTTAGCTGGTGACAGAGGGCCCCCAGCTGGTGCCAGATGGCCCCAGCTGGCGCCAAATGGCCATCAGAAGGCCTCAAACGGTCCTCAGTTGGCGTCAAGCGGCCCTCAAAAAGCCTCAAGGGGCCCTTAGAAGACCTCAAGGGGCCCTCAGAAGGCCTTAAAGAGCGTCAAAGGGCCTTGAGCTAGCGTCAGAGGACCCCCCAGCTTATGTCAGAGGGCCCTGAGCTAGCGTCAAACTTAACCCTATTCCTGGCGGGCGGGGGGGGGGGCCTCAGGAGCCCCCCTGAGGTTTTTTGGTTATTTCTCCCAAACGCGTTGAGCTACGAAGCTCAAATTTTCTGACTTTTCCTAAAAGGCTTCTACGCAACATGTCTGAAAATTTTGAGTTGATCTGACCTCAGGTCAGGTCACCAGAGGCGGTTTGGTGACCCTACCTCAGAAAAGTTTGCAATCACGCCAGAGCTAGAGTTTTTGACCGATCAATTTCTTCTCTTCAGGCTTTAGTTAGGGTACCAGTATGTGCAATTTGTATATCTCGAAATTTTGATATCGGTGACCTAAGGTCAGGTCAGTTTCGCGACCTCCCCATTATAAGTCAATGGGGGAAAAATCAACTCCCTGTTTTTACCACTAAAACGGGTCGGAATTGCCCCATATACCATACATGACTTCATATACGATCAACCTTCACTATCTTGAGGTCTGTTTTGCTGTTGGGCAGCTGTGAGGTCATGTGACGTCATCAAAGGTCACCAAAGGTTTTTGGCCAATAACTCCGTACAGGAACAAGATACAGACGCGTGGATGGTCTCATTGTGTTCAGCTCGTCAAGACGCATCGAATGATATACATGATGACCTCGAGGTCACGTGACCTGAGGTCAACCTTTGACCTTGACCTTTCGAGGTCAACATATATATCATTCGATGCGGATTGACGAGAGGATCACGATGATGCCCTTAGTTTGTTCCTATCTTGACTAATTCGAAAGTTATTCGAGAAAAACTCTCTCCATATCTAGCGCCGCCATTTTCACTTTTTCGACCCCTGTGACGTCATCTTTGACCTGACCTGAAAATGACCTTTGTAAAAATTGTAGATCTTGACCGTGCGTATCCGATGCCGTTTACCGTTTGTCGCTGCGATGTGTAGTTTTTGAGATCTGAAGGGGGGGCCGAATCGGCCCCCCCCCCGCCAGTTTCTTGTCCCGGCGGAGCCCGCCAGGAATAGGGTTAAAGTGCCCTTAGCTGGTGTCAGAGGGCCCCAGTTGGTGTCAGAGGGTCATCCATTGGCGTCTAATGGCCATCAGAAGGCCCAAAAACGATCCTCAGCTGGCGTCCAACGGTCCTCATCTGACGTCAAGAGACCCTCAAAAGGCCTCAAAGGCCCCTCGACTGCTCAAAGGGCATTTAGAAGGCCTCAATGGGAACTCAAGAGACGTTAAACGGAACTCAAAAGACTTGAAAGGGCCCTCTGCTGATGGCAAAGGGCTCGCACCTGAGTCAATAAGAGCCTTGTCAAAAAACGGACCTGAGAAACCTTGCCGGCCCTGGTTATCTGCGGGACTCCTACACTTACCTGAGTGGCCCCTGTTTACTGAGGGGCCCTGGTTATTGATGGGGTCCCTGGTTACTTAAGGGGCGCCTGGTTACCAGAGGGGCCCATGGTCACCTGGTGGGCCCCTGATCAATTGAAAACCCCTGGTCATCTGAAACGCCCCTGATTACCTAAAGGGTCCCATCACTTGGATTCAGTGACATAGCAAGGGAGCGAGGGGGTACGTGCCCGTTCTCGGGTTTAGGGTTCCTTCGAAACCGAGGGGCCCTGCGGCGCCAGTTGGTAGCAGAGGGTTCGCGCTGGCCGCACTTCAACTCGGAAGGACACCACAGGGCTTGTGGGGGGACGTCATTGGCTCCTATGTAGCCACAATTTTCTTCATAAAGGCCCAATGCCGGTTTCTGAGAGACCTCGCCGGCCGCTCAGGGCCTTAAGTAGTAACGGCCAACGAGGGATTGGCTGCTATGGCTCCACATCCGTATGTGATAGACACACGGTCCACACCAGTGTTTCTAAAGGCACCCACAACGGCAACTGCGAGGCCCCTCGCCCCACCTCCAAGGGACCCCCACCAGCGCATCTTAAGGGCCTACATCGGCGGCTCTGAAAGTCCCCACACCGACGCCTCTGAGGGCCACGTACCAGCGACTCTGAGGGCCTCTTACCAGCCTCCGAGTGTCCTTGCCAGCCTATGACGGGCCACTTTCCACTTGCAGGCCATTTTGCAGGGCCACACACATGCCAATGATGGCCCCACCAGTGTCTCTAAGCCCTAAGACCCCGCAACGGCGCCTGTGAGGACCCAACACCAGCGCATCTGACGGCCTTTCACTGGCACCTCTGAACGCGCCACACACCGGTGACTCTGAGGAGCTCGCTCGCTTCGCTCGCTCGTAAAATACCATATAAATTAGGCATTAGTGTACATTAGGCACACTCCTCGGGCATAAATGATACTTTTGCTTGCCAATTTTCCACATTTTCTCATGCAAAGACCGTTTTAAAGAGACCCGTCTGCCAGTGAGACTGGACCCACCGTGCCTCCCTCCTCCCATCGAAAGGTCCTGGGTACATCCTTGCCTGAGCTGACCCCGGGCGCCCGGGTGACTCGCGGGCCCGGGGTCAGGTGACCAGCAGGTGACCCCCTCCTGGGCGAAATTCTGGGTACGTGTCCGACATGCATCGTACATAGTCCTGTTGATTTGATTCATTGGTTAAGCATTAAATATAAGTTATAAGCTGGATCTCTAGTCTGTGATCCCGCATCGTATCAGATATAATGACATTTCATGTCGATGTGCCTAAAAAAATATGCGAATATACGTGAAAAAGGAGTGCTGCTCCCGCTCCTACACATCTGGGCCAAACAGTGACCGGCCCCTGCTTCTAGCCACCCGGGGCCGGTCGGCCGGCCGGCAGTCAGTCGCTGCCCGGGGCTGATTTCTGAGGGACCTGCAAAAATGTTTATTAATGAAATGTTTTACGTAATAAATTAGATGATTAGGTATATGTACCGGCTCTGATTCGCATTTGAGAAAAAAACAGCCTAGCGTAAAAATATATATGTTTTGAAAATTAAGCTGGTACCGAAATAATTGTTTTACCATGCATTGACAAACCAATTGCTCAAGCTTCAAACCAACCGAAATATAGCCCCGTGGACCGTATTTTTTTTTTTTGGGGGGGGGGGCCTTCGGCATGGGGGGCCCAGTTCGAAGGTCGTGCCCCCCCCCCATTCAAAAATCCTGTGTGCGCGCCTGACTCATCATAAGACACCTGAAAGGCCTGGATAGTGACGGATCAAACGATGGGATTACGAAAACGGCGCCAATCATAGTAGGCATGTGAAATGACCGGAGCTAGAGAGTGTTCGGGTATAAGCAGCTTTACATATGTATGGCAAAGCCATACGGCGAGTGGGTCGTGTGGGTCACTTATCGAGTGACCCACACGACCATTTAGATTACATAGAGGCGATTTAACCCTAAACGTGACAATAAGAGATACTCTCTTCATTAAACCAACATCGCTATTGGCCAAAATTAACAAAAAGCATCGGTGAAATCAGCCTTTTGACCGGGCCCAAATGCAAGGCTTTGTGGTGTCTCGTAAGCAGCAAGAAAAAAAAAACACAAGTCAGCCTTGTGAATTTTTTGAGTTTCGAGCAGCACTGGCAAATATTTTTTTACGTTTAATTTGATGCCTGAAGCATCTCTGTTCCGAACGATCACATGCACAGCTTTTGCACTTTGTATGCTGTTCATCACAAGCATGCAAATGGCAGAGCTCCTCGTAGATAATGACACACCGTGGAAAACGTTCGGGGCGGCTTTGAAGCTGAAGATGCATGCATTCGTGACATAGCCCAGCCAATAACGTAATGACACAATTATAATAGCAATCATTTCAGGTCTTTCGGCAACCATCTAAAACGGCGCAATCACGAATACCAGTCACGATTTCCTATGGCTAAACTCATTCCGTTTGCAAAAGTCTCATTGAATATGCAGCGCCACAATATTGTCAATACTTATCTCTCTGCCTATGTGGCCGGTAGGTTAGTCCAGCAAGCAGTTCTATTCTATTTAGGCTATTCACCTAAGCAGTAAGCACCCACTTACATACCGAATAAAAAATCCAAAATCGGCATAATCTGAAATCAAATAAAGATCAGTAAAAGAGTGATGCAGTCAAAGCGGATCGATCTGATGCAGGTTCGCGTCGTCGTGCCGAAACGTAGCATCACGTTAGGGATGAAAATAACGACGGCCTATTACCTCCACAGTCCGCATTTCCATGCAACACGCAAAATGCTCTCTGCAGGGTAGACGATGATGAAAAGATGAAGGTTTCCGCCTGACACATAGTGATGTGAGTTACCGAGCGAAGAAGGGTTGGGACGCTGGTGTATCGGGATTTGGTCAAGTTTCGTCTTATGCCTGAAACAGACCATTTGCACAGTCAGGAAATCGCATGCGAGAGCCTATTAAAATACATGGAAGCACGCTCGCATCAATCGCACGCACCTCCCGGATGCGATTGATGCGGGAAGAATTATAATGTATTTGAATAGGCTCTCGCATGCGATTTCCTGAACGCGGAAAGAGACTGTCTCAGCCTTTAGTCAAGTCAACAGCTTCTACCGTGTATTTTGCATCGGTCAAGTTAGATGTTAACCCGTGCCCCACTGGGCGGGTGCTATTCATAGCCCCCTCCCGTTTTTCTGCAATAGCTTCTAAACCGCTTGACGTATCGACGCCAAACTTTCAGTACTTTTGGCTGCATCAAGTTGACACCTTGTGTCAAAAAATGAACTTCGTAGCTACCATAGGTCGGCCGGAAATGACGTCAGAGTGACGTCATGTTCGGCCGATTTCGACGCAAAACATTGAACCACGGCAATCGCTCCCAAGAGCTCAGTTTTAAAGCTAAATCCAATTTCTTTGCACGAGAGGACTCAGAATAGATTACGCTATCAAACTGCTGTCTCGGATTTCCAATTTGAAAAATAAAAGTACCTATATATTTAAAAATTCAAAATTTATATTTTTATCTTCTTTTCTCAAAAGGTTTTTGACTTTTAAAAAAACCGGAATATATGTGATAGAACACATGCTTATGACTTAGGGGAAGTTGGGGGAACGCCGAATACTTTTTTTCTGACGCCCGTAGCACGCAAGGTAGACAACATAAACTATTCTTGTTGGCGTCATTCGAGAGGCCAGTCTTTTGCCTTTCAAACATAGGGGAGAGTGGGGAAAGATGCCCAGGGTTTTACTATGTCATATATTATTCGAAAATGACGATCGGAAAGCAAAAACTTGGAGTTTCAACGGAAGCCGACATCATTTTTCTCCAAAAATATCACACTTTCGTGGCTGAAATATGATAACTTTTTTTGCTATTAAGCATTTTTCTGAAGAAGTGAAAGGGGGCATCTTACCCCACAGGGTGGGAAAGACGCCCCCTGGCGTTGGGTAAGATGCCCCCTGCACTATAAGTGGCATAAATGGGCACGTGAATCGCCTGAACGAATCAGTAGTCCCTTCGAGACTGTAGTAGACACCAAACGTCATCGTAAGGGCCCTCAAAAGTAGTCGTAAGGGGCTTCAGAGGTCATCGTTAGGGCCATCATAGTCCAGCGCGGCCAAACAAGCCTCCGTGGTGGCGTTCGGAGACCACTGTGGGGGCCCTTATAGGTCTTCATGATGCTTGGGGGCCCTCGAGCCCATCGTGGGGACCGCAGATACCAGCGCGGCCCGTGGAGCCAACGTGGGAGCCCTCAAAAGATGTCATGAGGGGCCCTGGAGCCAATAATGGGGCCCACAGAGGCCGTCGTGAGGGCTCTCAGAGTCAGATGCCGCCCAAAAGTCGCTGTGTGTGCCGAGAGACCGGCATGGGGAGCACCCGACCGTACTGGACTCTCAATAGTCCCAGATCGGCTTTTGTCTCTCATGACAAGTATGTAATAAATGATTTGACGGGCTGCTTGGAGGACAGCCTACGGATTTAGGGGGGCGTCTTTCCCCATCAGGACAGGGGGCATCTTACCCCAAGGTACCGAAGCAACATTAAATCAGTACAATTTGTTAGCCATAAAACTACACCCTGAAACAAACTAATCGGGACACAGTACACGCATGTTAATGTATCACCACTATAGCAAGGGGCTCAAAAATTATCTACCTTCTTTGATATTTACAATGTTTTGACACCAAAATATTGTTTTGAAAGCAGCAAATAAAAAGCATGCAATCACCAGCCAGCCGTTGCCCAACTGAGCTTCGCAAATTTTTGTGCTGTTAACAAGGCAGGCTTCCGCTTTACGCTAAGAACATTAATTTCCAGGTTCGATTCTTTGTTTCGCCGCTGGAGGGGGTGGGGCGTCTTTCCCACCCTGGGCATCTTACCCCACTCTCCCCTACCAGGCGCATTTGATGAATTCGCATACCGTTAAGCGCACAAACTAAAAATATCAAAGAAGTGACTTTTTCGGCGTTGCCCCGGACTGCGGGGAAAGCCGAAAATGGGAGAAATGATCTACGGGGAATGCCGACATTGATGTTTTGCCACTTTATCTCAAACTTTATCCAGAATTTATCAAAGCTGACACGCGTTTTAAAGGGACCCTCCCACCTTAACATTAGTTTTGAGTTGAGATAGCCAAATTGGTGGCCATGGCCTGAAAATACCGGTTTGGGCATTCACAACATCGAAAAATGCTTTAATTCGGAGATATGGAATTTTAAACTTGCAGTTTTCGGATTCTAAGGGGCTAATGCATTGGTATGCCCCCTTAGAATTTGTGACGTCAGCGGAGATCTAACGATTTTTAAATCTTTTACTAAAACGTTTGGCAGCACGCGGTGGTATATGCTGCTTTGCGCGCAACAAATGCCGCACTTTCAAATAAAGTCGCTAGGAACAGCGGAGATCCCAAAAAGTAAACAAAAGTAAAAGTCTAATATCTTGAAAACCGGTGAATATTTTTCGATGAAATTTGGTAGATATTCATTTTTGCTCTTTCTGAACCGAGCGACATCACTTTCATGCCAATTCATTAACTTTTTTGAAGGTGGGAGGGTCCCTTTAAGAGCTTGAGGACGCTTGGTGCACACTCGGAAGTTATAATTGTGTGATATAATAAGAAAATGCCAGGCCTAAATAATTCCTCATAGGTAACCGGCCGTTGTGTCGGTTGAAAGTGTAATTTGTGTGACTAAAAATTCGCGTTGCTATTCTACAGCAGTAAAGTCCACGTAGCATGCTTTAACGTGCGTAATTGCACGTTTTCGGCATTACCCCAGCCAGCATACTTTCATTTGCAGGCCCATAACTTTTCAACGTGCCGTATAAATTTCAAATAGGCAGCACACTTATATGCAAAGACATGCTGAAGATTACTTGACCGAATTGGCCAGACAAACGGTAGCATAATGAGTAAGAAATGCAGCTTCAAAGGCGCATGTAGTACAAGGAACGCGTACCTTGAAAACGCTCTTGGCGCCCTCACAGCCGAAGTATTCCGAATGACGACTCGTAACAAACATGCGATAATTGTAGTCACTTAAGCTTCAGAGCATCACTGACAGGTGGCATCCATGTCTTACGGTTTTCGAAATATCTCAAATTTCGGCTTTGCCCCAACTCCGGCATTGCCCCAACTTCCCCTACTCTAGCAAGTTTTAGCCAGATATGTTCAAAAATGGCCAAGTTATACGCATTATAGTAAAATTTCACGATTATAAATTTATCAAATCAATTTTTCAGTACGTATTTGACATTGTACACCAATATAAATAGCACCATCGTCTTCCTGAGCTCAAACTACATCCGATACACTTTTTTGTTCAACTTCTTCAAACTTCAAAATTTGACCTTTTTTTACATGAAAGTGACCGGACCTAGGCTAAATTCCACTCAAAATGACCTCCAATGACATCAAATTCGAAATCTATGGGCTAAATGGACCATAAAGATGTGTCACGTGACCGATGCATGACATGAGATTTTCGTGACCTGTGATGACCTAACCCTGATCTGAAAATCAAAGTATAAGTTTGGTACCCTCAGGGTATCTAGAGCATCTGTTCACCGAGTGTGTAAACCAAAAATGAGCCCAATCTGGCTTGTAAGACGGCGACCAGAGCCCAAAATGTGAACAAGCCAATTCTCGATAATTTTTACTATGACCTGACCTGAGACGTCATCGGTGACCTCGAAGTCAATGAAATTAGGTTTCGCTCAACAGTTTTTTCCGGGGCTATCAGCCGCCGTTTGAATTTTGACGATCGGCCCAGTAGTTTCGGAGTTAGGAGGGGGAGATTATGAATAGCCCCCCCCCCCCCGAGTAGGGCGCGTTATGCGCAGACCCCAGTAGGGCCCGGTTTACGTTAAAAAAACTGAAACTAAAAATCCATCAACGACTTTTTGAGTGGCGTCAGCATCCAAAACGTGCGTAAGCAATCTCCATCATACGCGCAGTGGAAAGTCACGCCTGTCAGAAAAATATGTTCTATAAAAGCACGAGTCTAGCGCGAGATGGCAAAAATTAAATTCACTGAAATGCCTGGCGTACCGTTAGCAGCCACTGTGCACATCGAATTAAAATTAATGTTTGTCTCAAGCGCTGCAGCTTCAAATTATAGCCATGGATGACACCTCAATTTGCGCCTATGTCACGATTCTTATATTCATTTTAGTTCTGTTCCCTGATTGGCTATTCGACACACTATTTTGCCTCCACCGATTCCTTCACGATAAAATTCTTAAAATCGTCTGTTGCACAATCCACTTTGTATTCAACTGCTTCGGTGTTCTGCTCACAGTTTTAAGCATGTTCTTCAGACCAGCTCCAAATTGTCCGAGACCTCCAAAATGCTGTTAACAATGAGAATCCTGTCGATCATTCACCCCAAAAACAAAAAGAAGAACTACTTTATGGATATTGCGAAAGAAGATCCAAATAGCAACCAGTTTTTGGTAAGTAAAAGGGGATTATCTTAGTCGCCAAGTAGAATATTATATGCTCTATGATTTTCATTGCAAATTGTTGATAATATCCCGATGAATCAGTACTTACCTGTGCGGCATGCTTAAAATAATATAGCGGTGATAGCCAAGCATAAGTACGATTCAAAACCTACTGACTCATACGACACTGTCTGATGAGTGATGAGATGATTACCCCTTTTCTAAAAAAAAAAAAAAATGCTAGCTGGTTAGGAGTGTATGGTCACATGCAACCAATAAAAGTCATAATAAATTTCTGATCAATTAAGGTCACTGTTCAGCGAATTTCACTTGATCACAATTTCACTGTGAGATCACACCGTGCGAATTTCACTGCATAGACTGCATTCATGCACGCAAAAGCAATGCCAAAAGAAGTGACCGGTAGTGACTGCGTTGACGCAAGTAACAGTAGCACCCGCTGCACAGAAACTGCGATGGTCACCGTGCTGCGATGTAGCACACAGAGAAAGCACTATAGTAGTTGCGTGGAAACTGCAGTTGCGCACATAACAGTAGCACCACTTAGACGCGGAAACTGCATTAACGCACATCACAATAACACTAGCAAATCAAAACCGGTATTGAGGCACAACAGGTAGCATCAACTGCCCCATACCTACGCTATACTCGAGCCATCTACTATACGAAGTGTTGACTCATTTGTCCAAATATTCTAATCTGGACATTTGACCTTTGCTGACTCCTGCTTTCGATATGCCTACCTAATTGGCCTGAGCCAATAACTATCGAAGTATTTATCTTCATCTTAGAGATGAATGCGAAGGTGAAGTATCTTTAAGCATTTGACATATCCAGGCTCATCTTTGTTGTTGTTGTAGTTGTAGTTGTTTGCATATTTTTTATAGGATGGGTTACAGGATCAATGCATTAGCAGCGGGAGACTACATACGTATTAAACACTCAGCCTTTGAACTGCCATTAAACGACAAACAACTATATTTGCTGGATACCTGATATGTCAGCCAACCAGTCATCCAAGGAGTTAATTTCACGTGTGACTAACCAGTGCATTTCCTTCCCCAGATCACCGTATCACCTGGCTCAAGAAAAATCACATTTCCAACCAGGCGACGCCGCCTTTCGTCCGGTCGCCGGTCATCGCATCACAAGTCTGAGCGGCGGATCTGAGCGGCGAATTTGTATAACTCCGAACCATGAGACGGCGTGAAAACTGGCCACATGTATTTGGATGTGTTATTCAACTTAGCAGCATCAATGCCTACCCTCTATGTCTGTTTGTGATGGTGGCCACTAAAAAAGCAGCGCAGGAAAATGAACATCATTAGATATCTAGTTTACCAAGCACGTCCAGGCCGCATTTTGCACTAACGTCGTTACCATCAAGCCCTTCGACAACCGTCCAGGACTTCAAGGCACACACCTGTATACATATTATAACTATTAACAATCTCTTTGGATAAACACATCGGCGCCAGTAGTGTTATCAGAAGCCTCCATTTCGTAATTATTGCCACACATCTTGTTGGTAGGTATGTTTCCCAATGTGATTCGTGCTTGAACATAGCGTAATTTCGGATTCTTTTCATCTCTCGGCAGTCGCTTATGGCACACAATGTAACGGGGTTTTTGAAATGCAGCATGAAGCGAACGTAAAAAAAGTTCAGAGGCCCTTCCGGTGGCCCGTTCATGAGACTCTTGTGTAAACAATAGATTCTACAGAACTGCACAGAAAAGCGAGTCAGTGAAATTACATTGCGGCCTGGATCACGAACAGAATATGTGCAGGATGTTACGGTGGGACCGTAACTCATGTCTGACAGATGATTTTCTGCAAACATTCAGCGCGGCCGACTAATTACGCCATTTGCGTCCATAAATAGGAGCCGCAAACAGAATTAATGCGGCGCCGCTGGTTTCCCGGGTTATTGATGCAAGACCATTACATGTCGGCACGCCGGCCGTAAATCATACACACAGGGAGTAAAGCATGATATTAGGGGTTCATTAGTCCATGGTAAATTTGTTTATTCCTATGCATGGCGTGATATCAAATTTAGCTTTTCAATTAATGCTTTGGTGATCTAGCACAATATTCAACAGGACTTTTTGAAGATCAACGCTTTCTATACAAGTGAACGAAAAACTTTTTACTGCAGTCAAGATAAATCCTTCACTGTCCAGGTAACTTAATAACAAAAAACCGCCAGTCCGTGGTTAGCCTAGAATTTCGGGACGACGCTCAGAAAATGCATGGCGGCCGGCCGGTTGCCGATTAGGTTGCTCCGTTCGCTGTAGTACAACCTTTCACGGTGCGCGATCCCGGTCATCACGCAGCTATTTTCACATTCAGTTTAGTTCCAATGATTCTGCACTGTGTGTAAAATATTTTCAGCGTCACGTAGTGTCCATTTATTTACGTCCGTAAGTGCATGAGACGGGACGACCAAACACTGCACTACCGCAAAACTGGGAAAGTGCGCATATACACGTACCGGCGCGGCCATTTCCTGTAATACGAGATCCCATTACAGCTGGCTTTAGCGAAGCTGGAGCTAGGCATCATTACCTGTTCCACACCCCGTCTGCGTAGTACACAAGTCATACGTGTAAATAATGTATTTCAGAAATTAAACAGGCATCAGTTTGTCAACTGACCAAATGCAATCACTCAAAGGACTAAAAGTTCGACTGAGGAGTTTTAAAGCTTCAAAGCATATATGTTCCGATAACATCCGATAGTAACCCGTGCAACACCGTATAAACCAAGCGAGTAGAGCCAGGAGCACCGAGTATCTCAAAGGGACAGAGCTCTCCTCCCAAACATCGGCGAACAGTACCAAACGCACCTAAAACGACCGCGCATCGCCCGTCTTTAATACTGACGAGTTCATCTCGCTTATAACCGCAGATCACTAACGGAGGACTCCGCCCACCAGGCAGTGCTCGAATCCCAGCTCAATCGCTCAGTGGTAGATACGGGGTTCGCCTTCGGTGTCTCCCTCAGTGACTCCCAAGGCCCCTTCGTGGTTCCCGAGATCCCCTCAGTGACTCCGGGAATCCCCCGGTGATTGAAGAGATACCCCATATCACCTCAGTGACTGCGAGATACCTCCAGTGACCCCAGTGATCCCCCGGACCCCCCGGTGACCCGGACCCCACACCACGAGTGCCACCATCACCGACAGCCGTCCGTGTGTAGCGGCGGCGGGACTTACGCACTAACAACGTGTACGACATAACAGTCGTAAAATGTGTCATATCTTCAATAACGAAGTCGTGGCGTCAAAACGTAACATCACCGAATAAAAATAATAGTTTTTGAATGGTCGCAAAATATTATTACTGTGCAACAGGACCAAACAACTATTCTTATGATAATGGTATAAAGAATATGTATCAAACGTAATTCGTTGTTCATACCACAGCCCTACTGGTTTGGAAAACTATTGTAACCTTAGAACACCTCACTGAAGGGGAAACTGTGCACTTTGTTACCATCACAAATCCCTCTATCGCGTATCATCTCCCTCCCTTCACCTCGGCGCGGTGATCACAGTTGGCAGAAGGCCTGGAAGAGCAGCACCTCCGCCCGGTCGGTGAGAGTCAGCGTCACCTCCTCACCAGCCGGTATAAACAGGACGGAGCCGCGCCCGACGACCGTGGCGCCTCTGGTGGCGGCGCCGGACACCACCAGCAGCAGACTGGCCGAGTCCCGTACAGGGACCGTGTACTGGGGGCCGACAGAGTCCGGCACGAACTGAAACGGAACCGGGCCGAGACGTTAGTAACTACAGACGTCAGTTCGGATACAGCAGTCAGCGCGGGAAGTCGTCATTCCAGGCAGAGCCATCAGTCTGGTTCTGTCAATACCAGGAGCCATCAGTCCAGTCCCGCCAGTTTCAGTAGCAGCTAGCTCGGAAAGCCGCAGTCCGCTTCAGTCCGTCCAGCACCGACCGGTCAGGGTAATACTATCCCACAGTAAAATCACATGGCAAGCCAGCCGTGATAACTGCCCAACGCCGCGGCGCCGGCGGCACGCGTCCCACGCTATACCGGCAATCTACCCTCCCTAATACACGCCATTACGATGTAGTTACGTACCGAAGCGCCGTGCACATACCCACGGTAGTCCGGCCGCGCCCTTCCCGTCGACACAGCACGTACATACCTGAATTTTGGCCAGGCTGAAGTCGGGCACGGGCGGCCGGAACTCCTGCACGCAGTCGCCGCCGCCGGCCGCGCAGGTGGGGCGGAACAGCTGCTCAGAGGCCGGCCGACACTCGTAGGTGAGCATGGAGACCAGTGTGGAGACGTCCTTGAACTTGGGCGTCAGCCCCGAGCGGACGACATTGTCCGAGCAGGCCATGATCTCCACACAGTCTGCCGAGCAAATAGAAATAAACTGACATTTCCACAGTCTGGGGACGGGAAAAATCGCCACACCCTCACATATTCAATATTGCCTATGGAATGAAGGATAAATGTTGAGAAAAACTTCACATATTACATGCCTCATGCAAAATGTTTCCCATGCCTGTCTAGTGCAGAACATGCTAGCTAGGCTGCACTTAATCATAATTTGTTAAAGGTGCTTGAACCAGTCCCCTTACCTGCAATTCCATAAACATATTGGATTCCATCTAACAAAAATCCGAAAATCATGAAAAACATCCGACGCCACTTGGCAGAGGCAGCTAAACAAGAAGCAGTGAAGCCCCATCCTCTCTCTCTCTCTCTCTCTCTCTCTCTCTCTCTCTCTCTCTCTCTCTCTCTCTCTCTCTCTCTCTCTCTCTCTCTCTCTCTCTCTCTCTCCTCTCTCTCACCTCCGGCCAGGTATGCGTGCGGCTCGTTGGGTCCCAGGAAGAGCGCCTGGCCGGGCTGCAGGACCAGCCTGTTGAGCAGCAGGGCGCACAGGCAGCCCACGTCGCCCGGATACTGGCCGCTGAGACGGAGGATCAGGTCGGCTGGCAGCAGAGGGTCCGACGGAGCGCTGTCACCTGGGAGAGACAGGGGGATAGGTCATATACAGAGGGCAGTGTCATTGTGACAGGTCGGCCGGCAGCAGAGGGTCCGACGGAGCGCTGTCACCTGCGAGAGACGGAGGGATTCATGGGTCATATACAGAGTGTGAGCATGACAGGGGAGATCGCAGCACTCTCATCTGAGACAGACAGGGAGGGGCCATAAAGGTACAGTCACCATGAAAGGGTAGTTGCGCTGTGACCGTACCACTGACAGAGGAATGGGTCATATGGGGGATGTGAGATGACTGTCATCGACAAATAAGGACTAGACATAGGCCACTCTCTCAGCAGGGAGAGAGTCAGGTCGGACAGAGGCTGAACGAATACGGACCGGCCCCATGCAGAAGAGGCAAGGGAGACACATCTTATCTAACCCCCAGTTAGAGCTAAAGTTGGCGAGATACTTTAGCACAGATACCGCACGGTCATAAACAGTAAACACTCTGGCCCGTATGGCGGATGCTGGTATCATGAAAAGTTAATGGGAGATGCAACATGTCTGATTGCCGGGCCGAATTGGTGAATATATCACGTGTGTGACGGACCGTGCTGTGGTGCGAAGGTTAGGCCACGGATGAGGTCAGAGGCACCGCAGCTAAAGTGGCTGTAAACTGCGAGCAGTACTACACATAAATTGTCGTACACTATGATCTGCAGCCGAAAATACGCAGTGTCCCAAAACTGTACCTTGGCTTGGGTGTCAGAGGGGAAATTCCTCTAAAAAAAATTGGGATAAGAGTGGAAAATTGTTGGCCAAGATGAGGCCCAAGAAGAGTGGGAAAAACTCAATAGCATTAGTTTTTATACATGCATGATTAAATATGAGATGTACAACGACCATCCACGATAATGCTTTTTCTTCGTAATATTGGGAGTGGAAGTTGGGAGTGGAATTGGGAGTTGGTCTTAAAAATCGGACCTGTGAGAGTGCGAAATGATTTTCATTTGGATATCGTTTCCCACCCAAATAAACAAATTTTGGGACACTTAAAGGAAGACTGCCACCTTCAAAAAGTTTTCTCAGATCGGCCTATGATTTATTCCCTGGACAAAACAAAATTTTAGAATTCACCTGACAAAGTATCATCACGTGAATCGCGAAAAAAATTGTCGATTTTCATACAATTATCAATCGGTTAATGTCTAGCGACAATGTTTACACATCACTAGACTTCAAGGTCATAAGATTATTACATTTTATTTGAAAAAGTAAGGTATTTTATAATTTACTAATATATGATTTCATGAGAAATTGGCCATGTTTAATTTATTTTGCATTTAAGTTCGTAAAACATTAAAAAAATCATGGCTCATTTGGAATGGGTCTGGCCCATGTTAAACCCCATTTCCCACACTTTTTTGGAAAAAATGAACTACTGAATATATAAGTTTAACTTTTATTTTGACACTCCAAAATTCT